TCTGGTGATTAAAAAAATACAAGAGATCTATTTGAATGAGACAGTTTTTGAGAGAGAGAGGGAGAGAGGGAGAGAGGGAGAGAGGGAGAGAGGGAGAGAGGGAGAGAGGGAGAGAGGGAGAGAGGGAGAGAGAGAGAGAGAGAGAGAGGAGAGAGAGAGAGAGAGAGAGAGAGAGAGAGAGAGAGAGAGAGAGAGAGAGAGAGAGAGAGAGAGAGAGAGAGAGAGTGTGCGTGCACAAGTGTGTAACTAAAGTTTACACCTTTGCTGTGCCCTCTCCAGGACCAGTTTGTTTCTGGGAGGAAGTCAATTCATGATGGTAAGGGTGATAATCAGGTCTCACAATCTTTGTAAAGCCTCATATGTGAATGTTAATTACATAAAGTAATATTTTAAAAAATACATCTTTAACTGACTCTAGAATTGACAATTTAACAAATGATTTTTCAGGAAGTTGATTCCATATCACAATGGCAATCATGACAATACCAAGCTAAAAACATAAAAAATAAATACAACATATTCTGTAATTGTATCTGTGTATCTATGGCTGACATGACAATAGTTTACAACATGTAGTTTTGACCTGTTGACCGGCTGCCGGTCAAATAACCACTTGTTCTCCTGCCCTGACAACCAACCTCCATGGATACACCCTGGGCCCCACATATGTTACAGTGTTTCCCCATGATCAAGGCAGCCCTCACAGCCAAGGACCCATGCGCAAGCAAAGGGCGCGGGCGTGAGGATCCCCGAGAGGGAATCCTGTAGCCCGACGGAGGCCCTCCCCCCCCTCATTGAGGACACGTCAGGAGCCGCATGGAAGGCTCGCCACAGACGCCATGCAGGCCAAGGGAGAGGCAGAAAGGGAGAGGGACTCACTTTCGAAGGCCTGAAGGAAGAGCTCGTGGTCGGCATGAACCTCACTCACGGGCTTCTCCAGCCCCATCCCGTCCTTCTTCTTCTGGGGCATTTCCGCCTCCTGCGCTCGTTCGCCTCTCTCCTACGGCGTCCTCGCCTCCTGCTCCTCTCCTGTCGCTCGCTCCGCCCGGCTGCAGCTCAGAACGTGGCTCGAGGGACGAGAAGGCCCCGCGAGTCCTGCCTGGCTTTGTTGACGCCTCGGCCCTGGTGAGTCGGACTCGCGACTCGCAGCCAAAAGACGGCCTGCAAGCGCACTCCCCGGCGCCCTCGCTCCTCGCCGCCGCCGTGGCTCGGCCTCGTGCACGGCGTCTCTCCGGAGGGGTAGCGGACTGTGCAGGCGGGCACGAGCGGGCAAGGCGAGGCAGCGGCGTCGTCAAAGGGCTTTTCCCGCGCTGCCGCTCTTGCCAACCGCCGCCGCTCAACGTTTCCCGCGAAGCAGCCGCTCGCGCGCTATATCTATCTATCTATCTGTCTGTCACTCTCTTTAGCCCCGTCTGATATCGAGGGGCTCAGGGGGCGGCGAGGGGAATGAGGGAGGCGTTATAGCGGTGAGGGTATTAAAGATAACGGAGGAGATACTGATGCTGGTGAGGAGGAAAAGGATGGTGAGGATAATTTCGCCTCCGCCGCCGCCGACTCGCGCCCCTCAACGTTTCACGCGGGAATTGGCGGAAGTATTGCTGTTGTTGTTATCATTGTTATTTTTACTATTATTGTTATTATCATCATTACTGACGGCATTATTGTTATTATTATTATTATTATTATTATTATTATTATTATTATTATTATTATTATTATTATTATTATTATTATTATTATCATCATCATCATTATTGTTATTGTTATTGTTATCATTATTATTATTATTATTATTATTATTATTATTATTATTATTATTATTATTATTATTATTATTATTATCATCATCATCATCATCATTATTTTTTTTTTACTTTTGTTATTATTATCATTATCATTATCATTATCATTATTATTATTATTATTATTATTACTATTTTTTAATTATGATCATCATCTATAATAATAAAAATGATAATAGTGATAATGATAATAATGATCATGACAATAATAATAATAACAACAGCAACAATAATAATAATAATAATTAATAATAATAATGATAATGATGATACTAATAATGACAGTAATAATGATGATAATAATAGTAATAAAAATAATAAGAGTAATGATAATAATATTGACAATAACATTTGTAAATACTAATACTACTACCATTAATAATAATAATAATAATAATAATAATAATAATAATAATAATCTTAATAATGATAATAATATCAATAATAACATTATGATGGTAATAATAGTTATAATAAAATGAAAATGATGATAATGACAACAATGATTATAATAATAACCGTAATAATAATAATAGTAATTATTATTATAATAATAACAATGATATTACTACTACTACTACTAATGATGATGATAATAACATAAATGATAATGATAACAATGCAATAATATAAATACCAATAATAATAATAATAGTTGTCATGTTAGTTATAATAATAATAGTAATAATGAAGATTAT